TCTTTTTTATAATATTTTTTGAATTCTTAAGAGATTTCTATATTATATTATAAAAAGAATAGCCAAGCTATTTAATAAAATATTAAAGTTTGCAATAATAAATTCTTTTATTAAGAATATTTTTGACTTCTTATTCTTCTTTATTATTATAAATAATAATAGCTTGTGATAATTAGTATTTATTATATTCATCATTTGAATTATATTTCTTTAGTAAAGAAATATGAAATATCAGATATAATTTCATATTTACTGATAATTACAGTTTGTAAATAATAGAAGATATTTTTGTGATAATTTTAAAGAGATCTATGAACTTTAATATAAGTTTCTTGATTATTCTTTACTTATCTACTAAAGTATCTATATTATAAGTAGAGAGAAAAATTTTATTTTTAATATTAAATTATTTAAATCTTCTGTACTTATTTATATATTTACTTTGCCTATCTTGAGTTTCTAATAATAAATCTTTGACTATTTTAATCATAATGTTTTAATATTTCATAAAATTCTGAAAGATAATAATATTATTCTGAAATAACAGAATATTAATTAGTATATAAGATATTTATTCATAATTTAATTCAAAAAATATATAATTAGTTAAAATATTCTTACTATTATTATAGATGAATTCTGATTTTTATCAGATTTATTTTATTAATAGATAGTATATATTCTGAGTATTTTTTCAAGAGTTTTATTTAATTTTTCTATTTGACTATTTATTTATAGATAAAAAACTATTAATATAGCTAATTTAATTTTTAGTTATTCAAAAAATAACTTTCAAAAATAATTTATAAATTTATATTTCTATCTGATATTATAACTACAGATAGATTATGTAATTTAAAGATATTTTTAAAGAAAATTCTTATAATATCAAATATAGTTGCAATTATTATAATTAGTATAAAGTATATTCTTTTAACTTATTTATAAATATAATTATTATATTATATTCAGATTTGATAATTGAGAGTTAAACTATAAAATTCATGGTGATATATTTTTATTTATATTCTGAAATAGCAAGTGATTATAAAAATTCTGAAAATTATTGATTACTATATTTATTATACTAATAAGATTCATAACTAATAATAATATATTTGTAAATATTTTTATTTATTTTTAACTAATAGAATTATTAAGATATTATTATATATATTTTATCAATTCTAATATATTTTGTTATAAGTATATTATAAAATTCAAATGATATTTTAACTTTTAATATTTTATCATTAGATATAGTTAAGTAACTAGTATTCTTTAAATAAAGCAAGTCTACTTTTAATTCAAAATATTTTATCTTAGCCTATTACTTGGTATTATACTATTAAAATTCTTCAAGATTTTATATATCTTTATAAAATATTTATCTTTATTATATTTTTTAATTAACTCTTTTTTATTGATAAGACTAATAGTAATAATTATAATATTTACTAAATGTAATTAGTAAAAAAATATATTTATAACTATATTATCTTTATTAGATTTATACTTTACTTTAAAATTACTGGCATATAGAATTTCTAATCAATAAGTCTATCTCTTAAAAAGATTATATTGAATTTTATTATATTTTAAAAAAAGAATAAATCTATTTGTTGCTACTAATGACAGTATCAGATCACATGAAGTCTAAAAATATGTAATATGATAATTAATCATATGATGTGATAAAAAGTCTAGTAATAGTAATTTTTATTACAAGATTACTACTTAAGATTACATATATTTTTTCTCACATTTTTTTCCTATTACCACTATTTCTTGAGCTGAATAAATAGAGTGACAGATGAGTAAAAAATAGCTGAATTATTATCAAAAAATCTTTCACTCACATAATCTTATTACTATTAGGATAATAATAAAGAGCAAATAGAATGATAAGTGAGTAAATAATTAATTTCCATCTTTTTTTATCAAAAAATCATAATTTCACTTATCATAAGCTGTTTGTCATTAGTTATTATTAGGGTAATGAGTAAATAGAATAAAGATAACATGTCTGGGTGAGTAAATAGCTAAATTACCATCAAAAAAATCATAATTACACTTATCATAATCTGATTTCTATTAGTTATCATTAGTTGCTAATAAATAGGATGACAGGTTAATAAATAGTTAAATTATGAAAAATTATAATTTCACTTATCATAATCTGATTATTATTAGTTGACTAGTTGGATAACAGATAAATAGAATAATGAGTAGATAGGAATAAAGTGAGTAAATAGCTGAATTTCCAATCAAAAATCATAATTCTACTCATTATATTTGTTGCTATTACAATTGCTAATGAACAAAGCTTAGGATAAGTAAAGTAAATAGAGTAAATAGGGCAAGTAAAAAAGGAAAATAAATAGCTGAATTACTATTGGAAAAGTTATGTATTTTACTAAAAGTTTCATATCAAATCATTCTATAAAGATTATAATGATAATTATAATTCATGTTTCCCTTCCATTTTATATTTTCTCCCATTTTCTACTATTTCTTGCAAGTTAGTATATAATAATTAACACTCTCATATTTATCACACTTGTTTTGGCCAGTAGATTTTTTGTTTTTGATTGATATTTTACTACTTCTCTTAAATCACTTAATGGAAGGTTATTCTTTCTATCATTTTTCAATTGGATTTTTAACTTTGGTTGGATCAAAATTTTTCTTGTCTTTGTCATTATCATCATTATTATTATCACTGCTAGTGGTTCTTTATTCTTTAAAAAACTAGTTATTAAGACTTCTTTTGAGATGACAGAGAGATTTATCACCCATCTTGACAGCATACTAAACTGTTTTTCAAGCAAGATTGAAGGTTTTACTATAATTATACTATTTCTGAACTGCATGGCAAACTTCTGGGCAGAAAATATCTTTTTTGTAAATTATAGTAATACTATGCATGGAAAAAAGTCTGGAACAAGATAAGCAATCATTATATAATTGTACTAGATCAGTATTCATCATGAAAGATTACTTATCTAATTCTGATTCTTGTATTTTTTCATTTTTGTATCAGCATCTGGAAATCAAAGTTATATGGAAGAATATTTCATTATTAATTCTTAATACATGTCAAAAATATTAGTAAATCAAGCCATAGTTAATTAGTAGTATGTATATACAGAAGTTATAAAGAAATTAAGTTTTAAAGATTATATATTTTAAAATTTTTGAATAATTTATATAGTAAATTTTGAAAATTCTATTATGTAAAATTTTTATATTTTTGAAATCAAAAAAGTTATTATTATTATAATTATATATTTTTTATATAAAATAATTAAAATTATATATTAAAAAATATTCTTAAATAGTATATAATTATATCTAAATAATTAAAATTATAAATACTTTACTTTTAAAAAAAATTTATATATAGTATGTTCATATATCTACATTTTTGCACTGGATCATGATAAAGATGTTATGATATGGGAATATTTCTTGAAAAAAAGATTGTGATCATTAATAAAAGTAGATAGTAAAATAAATAGATTAGATTATATTAATATTTTAGAAAAAAATTTATTATCATTTATCTAATTCAAATATCATAAACAACCTTATGCATTTCAGGATGATAATGCTCTATTCATACTGCAAAAGATATTAAAAATTGGATTACACAGAAAAAGATTAAGATTCTCCCAGATTGATCTTCCTAATCTCTAGATCTTAATCCTATTGAACATTTATGATATGAACTTGAATGAAGATTTCAAAAATGATCTGTATATCCAAAGAATTTTTATAAACTTAAAAAAGCTTTGCAAGAAGAATAGAAAAGAATTCCATCTGAAACTTATATTAATTTGATTAAAAATATGCCACATCTGAAACTTATATTAATTTGATTAAAAATATGTCACATTAGATTGAAGTATGTATTAAAAATCAAGGATGACTAACTAAATAATAAATATTTATAATCAAATATAATTTTTATTGATTGATCAGATACTTTTGATAGGATAGTATATCTTATTATAATTATATAAAAATATTTTTATTTAATTTTAATAAATTAAATAATGATATTTTATATATAAAAGTTATAATATATAAAATAAATTATAAATTTTGAATATTTTAAATGATTAGTTATAATAAATTGAATAATGATATTTTTATATAATTTTATTATTGATTTTCAGATATTATACACTCCTTTACTTATAATTTTTGTATTAGTTAAAAAAATTATAAATTTTTATCTTGATTTTATAAAATTTTATTAATTTAGCTTGATTCCATCCACTTACATGTATAAAATAAACATAGAAAGAATTGTCCAATTCAAAATTATATAGTAAAATATATAAAAAATGGAAACTTCCAAGCTATATACATATTCATATTTTTTCTACTAATTATTTCTAAATATATATCATTTTAAAGTTCATGACTTATATTTTTAGATAAATAATTCCCAGTTGTGCGAGACTTAAAGTGAAAAGACCATTTTGATTTTAAAGGAAAAAATTTTTTCCCACGCTTTACATATCAAAAATTGAAATTTTCAAGCTATATCCACATTCATATTTCTTTTAGTAATTAATTTCCAACTATTATACCATTGTAAAGTTAATCAATTAAAGTTTTAAAATATTGATTCCTAACCGTTGGAGACTTAAGATGCAAGAACTGTTTTAATGGAAAAATTTTTTATATATATTTTACTATATAATTTCAAATCGGGCTGTGGGTATTGTACATGTACATGTAATTGTTAACTGACCTTGGCAATATTTCAATATTTCAATTCTCTGTAAAAGATTTTTGATTTCGAATTAGTTTATATAATAAAATAAAATTTGATTTATCAAGCAAAGTTTTCTCTTGAAAAAATATTAAAGATATTATTATTTTAATGTAATTTCTTAAAAATGAACTTTTATTTCTTTAAATTGGAAAAAGATCAATGTTATTCATTATGAATTTTCGTAAACAAAAATATTTCCAGCTTAATGGAATTAATTTGAATTTTCCTGATAAATTATTGAATCCACATTCTCATGTCTAGGCACAAATCGAACATTATACGGATCAAGACAAACTGTAAATTTGTTTGTATACTTGAATAAATCAATGGTTGTAGGAGTAACGCCATCGGATTGTAGCCCTGGTTCGATTCGAAAAGCCCACAGAATACGCGAAGTAACCAAAAAAAGCTCAGCTTCGGCCTATTGCAATTTGTCAAATTATTTAGAATTCATGATGATTCGAAGAAAGAAATTTGAAATAAAAAAGTTTACCAAATGAATGCCAGAACATAACCTTCTACCAGCACCAAATGCAAAGTGATCCCTCAATTCTACTTTTCCTTGTGCTAAAACTGCCGAACTCTCTTTTATACCCAAAAATCTAGTAGGATCAAAAGTATTTGCATTCTTGTATCTTGTTTCATCCGTGTGTATAGAATAATTTGCCAAAACTACTAAGCTATTCTTTGGAATATGATATTCCATGTACTCGTCGTCTTCTTCAATGTAATGTGGAACACCGAAGTTAAGCTATATTTAAAATGCTTAATTAGCATTCAAAGGACAAAATTTATTGAAGAAAGAATGAAATGGTAATAAAGCTTAACAGGTGCAGCCCATCTCATTGATTCTTTAATGAAAGAACGAATGAAATCCAGAGAAGGTTCGTCTTCTTTTATGGGAAGTCGTGTTTTTCCAATCACACGATCAAGTTCTTCATGAGCACGAGCTTGATATTCCGGATATTTGGCTAATAAAGCTATAACCCAATTTAAAGCTGTCGAGGTAGTTTCCTTTTTTCATTAATGCGAATAGATTATTTAAGTATGTAGGTATTTATTTTCAATTAAGTTAAATAAAGAAATTCTTACAGTTCCAGCATTAATTAATCCAATAGATAAATGTATGACGTCAAATTCATCACATCTACCTTCTTGCAATTTCTTCAACAAGTCTCTAGCGACACATGGTTTCTCATCCCTATCATTCTTTACCTGCGTCAATAAACCTTCAACAGTAGTTTCCCAATCATCACGTAACTGTATCGCATTTTTGAGTGTCGTACGTCGACTTAACACCCATCGCAAAATAGGAAAGAAATTAAAGATTCGATGCTTCATGGTGCCAAATTCAAATGCCCGTTTTGATAGATCTATCAAAAGTTTATAAAGCGGGTCGTCAATGCCTTTTGCTTTTATGGCAAATATTACGTTTAGCATTATATTTAAATTCGTGTAGCTCAGGTATGATTGCGGGCGGAGTCCTTGTAAGGTTTGACCATCTCGGTGAAAAATTTGAAGCAATTCGAGAGTGCATTCATTTATTAAATTGGTGTATGAATTGATTCTGCGATTGTTCAATGCTCCGTGAACTAGAGAAGTAAATAATACTATTTTTAGATTTTCAAAAGAAGTCGAAATTAGGATATAAAGAAAGAAAAATTTACCTAATGGCGTTATTTTACGGAACCATTCATTATTTGGTGATCCAGCATATAATCTTTTCCTCTGAATTATTTCCCAACTTAAATACGTGCCTACGCGTGAAGAATATTTCGCTCCACCTGTAAGCGTATAATTATCTAGGTTTTATTATCTGCAAATACTGTGTGCATTTTATAATCAATAATGAATTCTAAACAAAATACTCGCGTTTTTGTAATAAATCGTTGACTAATTGCATGTTATTCAGTATAATCCATCTTTCTTGGCCCATTTGGACCATAAAAATATCTCCAACATGTTCTCTCCATTCTTTAAATCTAAATAAAACCATTCAAATAAAAAGTTATTATTGCATATATGTGCATTCCCAAGTACATTTAATAGTAGAATAATTAATACCTTCTATGAGGTTCAAGACCTATAGCCTTGAGATGACCTTAGTATATAGTGCAAATATTCATTATCGAAATAATGTATTTAAATTTTTTAAATCAAGTTGAATGATTTAATTTTTGATTACCTATAATTAACTTTTTACCAGGAGGTTCAGGCAACGGTTTCAATCCTTTTGGGACTCTATCAAAAGATCGCTTGTACCACATGTAAAACACAAAAATTACAATAAAAAAATAAAGAAACATCATTTTTTTTAATACTACATATTTACCAAAAAAAATGCATTATTTCACATATAATTTTATATCCGATTTTTTAATCGTTACCTAACGCCATATTACATGTACATGTGTATTCTCCGGTCTATTGATCATTGATGTATTGCATCGATCGCGGGATAAGTACGGGACATGTATTACCATCACAACATCAATTTCAAATTACGTGCGAGTACAAATTTGCCACTTAATTAAGTAATTTTCGATTGTCATAAGGAGAAAGGTTATTTATAAAGCCGTTGAAAACCATGCTTTTTCTGAAAGCGGTGACGTTCAAAATCCCGAAGATCACAATTCCGAACGTTAATAAGCCCGACAAACGAAATCTCGAAAGAACGACATCCCGAAAAATCGAAATTTTGAATCCACGAAATCCCGAAAGTATAACATTATCCCAAATGCATGGAATTTCAAAATTATCACGATTTGAGATTTCATGCCTTTGGGATTTCGATCATTCTGGATGCAGTTCATTTGAGATTTCGATAATTTGGGATGCCGTTCTTTCGAGATTTCGTTTATCGGGCTTATAAATATTCGGGATTTTGTGCCAGAGTTCCTTATACGAGCACAAGTAGCTATATTATAGCGATATGTCCGGAAGTTTTTCGGTCAAATTTTTAGGACCATATTCCTATTTAAGTTCTATAGACAATTTTCGCTTAGTTAAATAATAAGATTCCAGCAAAGCGAAAGTTCTTTCGCGATATCTGTTGCATAAACATTCTATTGTTAGAAATGGAGACAATGGCAATTATCAAGTTCAAGAAACTATAAGAGAAGAAAAAAGCGAATCGCAGCAATATATACTTTGTTAAAATAGATTTGGAACGTTAACCTTTAACATCAAAAAATATGCAATATTTATAATAAGATAAAGCTAAAATAGGGCTAAAGATCCGATTTCCTTATAAAATTAATATTATTGAGTGTATGGGAGGTCGATATTTTGAAGTTTTCAATTATTAAATTCTATATGACAAAAAATCAATCATCGCAGAATTCAAATATCAAACGAAACGCAACTTAAAGGCATAATCAAAATGACATCTTATAAATCATGACTAAAAAAGACAAGTGACTCATGAGTTTACAGTTCACATGCATTATCGATACTTAATTTAAAGTAATAAATTAATATAGAAAAAGAAATGTCTAGTTCGATAGTTGATTGAATTGAAAAATAGAGTACACGTTTATTTGAGTTTTATTTATCTCTATTATCGTTTTATCCTTTTTGACGACCTTCTTTTACCCTTCAAAAATCTAAATCGGAAAAATTGGAAGGAACTATTTGACGCCATTAGATCAAAGACTTAATCATTCAATTAACATAGATAATTACCGTTAAATAATTTATTTAGAAGATTAATATGCATAAAAGAACGGGTTCTTGGCCCCCAACAAGAACAGCAACGATACGAAAATAAAGATATTAAATTTGTAGAGAAACTTTCTTTTATTTGCAAAAGTATCCTATTGTTGTTAGTCACCCCAAATATTGCGTATAAGTGACCTCTATTTCTTTTGTGCATAACATAAATTGATAGTGGAAGAATCCATTCTAAATAAACCATATTTATTGACAACCTTGGTATTAAATAAGACAACTGTTGAATTCGCTGTGTGCCTCATTTGACTTGTGGGTTTTGTGGAATTTGTTTCGCCGCATCAATAACTCTTTTTTGGATTAGAGTTGGTAGTGAGCAGAAACTGCCTGTGGTCCTCTGGAACCTCGTGAACAAATTAATTTACCTTAAACGTCTCTTTAAAACATTGTTCTTTCCTCCCCCTTTCAATCATTTAAGTAGTATTCTTGAAAGAACTGCCACAGGAAACCTTTAGGACGAATTGAGAACCCCTCTTTTTGTAAATCATTCAGTCGGAGTCTCTACCCTTGTGTTGCGCATTATTTCCTGGAATCAACATCTTTCAAGAGAAGCGTAACAATACTTTTGTCAGCCGGTGTAGTTGTATTCGCTATCGATCTTGCTTTTCTAACTAAAAGCCTTAACTATTACAATATAACACGTTAACAATTTGTCCTATTCATGAAAGCGATTCCTATCATCGTTTTTTCTGGATCAAAGGTTCGAACTATCAAACGTTAACATGAGAGCAATTTTTTTTACAAGTCTAATTGCAATCGATTCTCTTGAGCATGTTTATCGTTATGTTTATATATCAGACGATCTAATCTAATATTGGTTTCAAAGCATTATGCTTAAAAAAGAAATTAAAGTAATAAAAAATAAAATTTAGAAACAAAAGACCGCATAGATTTTACGAGTTCAAAATAAAATCAATGATATAATTTAAGATAAATTATGAAAGATTGTGCATTTAAACAGAACGATTTCTTCCAAAAACAGAAGGATAATGTAAGCGCATATACAATATGTTCATGTAGTGCCATGTATTTTACATCAGTCTTTTTTAAAAGGAGACCAGTTAGTTATATGGTAAAAATTTTCGACTTGCTGAATTGTGTTTTTTAAGCTGTTTTTGCGTCGATATGACCATTTTCAGCTGCAGTATTATACCAATTTTTAGCCATGTTGATATCTTTAGAAACACCTGTTCCTTTTTCATAGCAAAAAGCAAAATTATATTGTCCGCTTGCGTCTCCACCCTCTGCTGATATCAAGTACCATTCAAAGGCTTTTTTCTCATCTTTTTGTGTTCCAACCAAAGATTAAATTGTCGTGTTGCGTATCCACCCTCTGCTGATTTCAAGCACCACTCAAATGTTTTTTCTCATCTTTTTGTGTTCCGAATCCATTGTGATAACACCAACCTAGATGATTTTTGTCCGTTGCGTATCCACCCTCTGCTGATTTCAGGTACCATTCAAATGCTTTTTTTTATCTTTTGTGTTCTAAATCTATTTTCATAACACCAACCAATATTATATTGTTTGCTTGCGTATCCACCCTCTGCTGATTTCAAGTACCACTCAAATGCTTTTTTCCCATCATTTTGTGTTCCGAAATCCTTCATCATAACAGCAACCTAGATTATTTTGTCACGTTGCCCTAAAAATAGTCATCTAGTAACGATAAGTACAATCCCGTGCAAATACAATTAGGTCATAATTAATGTATGACTCTTATATTTCTTGAATGTTTGCTGCCTCACGCTTTATTTGTGTCTTATTTGTCTCTATTATCGTTTTATCCTTTTGTTACCCTTCAAAGATCTAAATCGAAAAAATTGGAAGGAACTATTTAAAGTCGCTCTAAAAATATTAGATCAAAGACTCGATGTTCAATTAACATAGTTAAATAATACTTTAGAACATAATCTTTTATTTGCAAAAGTATCCTATAGTTGTTACTCACCCCTAAATATTGCGTACAAGTGGCCTTTATTTTTTTTACCTAACATAAATTGATAGTGGAAGAATCCACTCTAAATAAACCATATTTATTGACAATATTGGCATTAAATAAGACCAACTCTTGAATTCATTGTGTTCCTCATTTGACCTGTTTAGAGTTTGATTCCACTTGTTGATCAGATTATTGGCCGCGTCAATAACTTTTTTGTATTAGAGTTGGTAATTAGCAGAAACTACCCGTATTCCTCTGAAACCTCATGAATAAGATTAAGTTTACTTTAAACATCTCTTTAAAACATTTTTCTTTCCGTCTATTTCAATCATTTAAGTAGTAGTTCTCGAAAGAATTACCACAGGGAACCTTTAGGACGAACTGAGAACCCTCTTTTTGTAAATTATTCAGTCGGAGCCTTTACTCTTGTGTTGCACCTTACTTGCTGGATTCAACATCTTTCAAGAGAAGCGTAACAATACTTTTGTCAGGCCGGTGTAATTGTATTCGTTATCGATCTGTTCTTCTAACTAATTATTACAATATAACACATTAACAATTTGTCCTATTTATGAAAGCGATTTCCTATCATGGTTTTTCTGGATCAAAGGTTCAAACTATCAAACGTAAACATAAGAACGATTTTTTTACAAGTTTAATTACTTGCAATCGATTCTCTTGAGTATGTTTATGTTTATACGTCTACATCAGACTAATCTAATATCGGTTTCAAAGCATTATCTTAAAAAAGAAAATTGAGTAATACTGTAAAAAAATAAAATTTAGAGATAAAAGATTGTATAGATTTACGGTCAAGTTCAAAATAAAATTAATAGAATTTAAAAATAAATTTTGCATTTAAACAGAAGCGCATTTACAATATGTTCATAGTAGTGCTATGTATTTTACATGTCATGTATTTTACATCAGTCTTTTTTAAAAGGAGGCCAATTATATGGTAAAAATTTTCGACTTACTGACATTGTGTTTTTTAATCTCTTTTTTGCGTCGATATAATCATTCTCAGCTGCAATATTATACCACTTTTTAGCCATGTTGATATCTTTAGAAACACCTGTTCCTTTTTCATAGCAAAAACCAAGGTTAAATTGTCCTTTTACGTCTCCACCCTCTGCTGATTTCAAGTACCACTCAAATGCTTTTTTCTCATCTATTTGTGTTCCGTTTCCATTTTGATAACACACACCAAGATTATTTTGTCCCTCTGCGCATCCACCCTCTGCTGATTTCAAGTACCATTCAAATGCTTTTTTCTCATCTTTTTGTGTTCCGATTCCTTTTTTATAGCATGAACCAAGAAGACATTGTCCCCTAGCATTTCCACTCTCTGCTGATTTCAAGTACCATTCAAATGCTTTTTTTTCATTTTTTTGTGTTCCGTTTCCATTTTGATAACAAAAACCAAGATTATTTTGTCCCGTTGCGTATCCTCCCTCTGCAGATTTCAAGTACCACTCAAATGTTTTTTTCTCATCTTTTTGTGTTCCGAATCCATTTTCGTAACACCCACCAAGATTATTTTGTCCCGCTGCGCATCCACCCTCTGCTGATTTCAAGTACCACTCAAACGCTTTT